AACAGCCTCAATCTCCTCTCCACCTATCATGGTGCTGTCAATTGGCCCAAGGGTGAGAATCTTTCTCTTCTTGATGTTGAGTTTCAATCCATATTGAAGACTATAGTCATTGACCTTGTGAAACAAACACTTCAGGTCCTCCTCAGTTTCAGTCAATATATTGATCATTATATTATATACAATATATATGGGTTTTACTATAATTCAATGTCAGAGAGGATGGGCAATCTCCTCCTAAGAAATTAACTGCCTCTGAAAATTCACTAGAAGGTCAGCTATGGGTCAGTTCTGAGTAGACAGTACACAACAACATCAACAGCAATACAATTGGATTTTAGGAATTCACGAAATGACAGGCAATGTATAAGTAACTCACTGTTTCATGGCCATACAGTCAGAACCAACTCTTAGTTGACTCTCCAATATGTTTTCAGAGGCTATAAACTGCACCAGCAGAAGTTATTCACCTTTCTCCTTCAGAGAAGATAGTGGATTCAAACCCCCTGCCTTGGAGTTGATAGCAGCTTCCTACACTCTTAGCACCTGAATTCTCTGTAAATGAACTGTTGATATTAGGAGCCATTGATTTGAGTGTGACTCAGGAACAACAGTTCTGAACATTGTCTTATTATTGTCTCATCCTTATCATCTTTGACAAATTTGAGCCCATTGCTGCAATCACTGTGTCAATACATCTGGTTGAGGGCCTTCCTCTCTTTCACTGACTCATCATCTTTCCAAGTATGATGTCCCTTGACAAGGAATAGCCTTTCCTAGCAACAGGTCCAAAGTATGTGAGATGAAACTTTGTAATTCTTGCCTCTAATAAACACTCTGGCTGTCCATCTAGAAGACATACTTATTCTGTTGGCAGTCCATGGGATATTCAGTACTCTTCCCAACAGCACAGTCAAAGACATCAATTCTTATTCTGATATCCTTATTCATTGTCCATCTTTCAGATGGGCAACTAGTGACTGAAAAGGCCATGGCCTCAGTTGGGCACATTTTAGTCTTCAAACTGACATCACTGTTCTTCAAAAATTTGGAGATGTGGACAGTGGACTTTCCCAGTGCAATGCATCTTCTGATTTCCTGACTGCTAGGTATTGATTGTAGATCCAATTAAGAGAAAATCGTTGACAGTTTCAATCAGTCATGATTTTGCCTATCAGTCTAATCCAGTGGTGAGGATTTTTGTCTTTTAGATGTTGAGAGGAAATCCGTATTGAAGGCTGTAGTCTTTGACCTTCAACAGCAAGTGTTTAAAGTCCTTATTTTCAGCAAGTGAGGTTGTGTCCTCTGCATAACAAATGTTATTGATGAGTTTTACTCCAATCCTGATGCCACATTCTTCATCATAGACTCCAGCGTCTTGAATAATTTGCTCAGCATACAAATGGAATAGATATGGAGAAAGGACACAACACTCATGCACACCTTTCTTAATTTTAAACTATGCAGTGTTCACTTGCTCTATTTGGATTACAACTTCTTGGTCTAGGTCTAGCTTCATATGAGTACAATTAAGTATTCTGAAATTTCCCATTTTCTCAATGTGAGCTATAATTTATTATGATCCACACAGTCAAATGCCTTTGCCCAGTCCATAAAAGAACAAATATACATTATTCTGTTATTCTCTACTTTCAGCCAGGATCCATCTGACAACAGAAGTGATCTCCCTGGTGCCATGGCCTCTTTTAAACCCAGCTTCAATTTCTGACAACTCTCTCTCAATATACAGTTCTAGCCATTTAAAATGGTACAGTGTGCTACCAGTAAGGCATGCAGAGCCTGTTGGGTACAAAAAGAAAACAGACACCAAAATTAGGTTTTTTTAAATGGAGCCAGAGAAATCTTTCTAGAGAAGATTATTCTGCTAAGATTTGGAATAATCTTGAAGTGTTCATATTATAATTGTACATATTATACATGAAGTATACATATTATAATTTCCCCTGAAAAAGGGAAAAAAAGGATTTAAAAAGTCACTAAAATTTGTTAAGATCATATAACAAGCATTAGAGTTAGAATTCAAATCCAAATCTCCATGAGCCCAAAGTCCCCTTATGTCAGAGATTTTGTTCTCTTTCAGTTTAGTATCCTCTTGTTTGTATGGATTTTATAAGTGTGACAAGAGCATCATCTTTTAAATTAAACTTAATAGGAGTGACATCCACTTCCTAAATAACATGCCTCCAGAAACTCTATGACCTTTGATAAATATTGATAGTTTAGAGGGGCTTCATGCATTTTTTTTCATAGGGTCGCTATGAGTCGTGCTTGACTTGAAGGCAAACAACAACAGAATGATAATTAGTAGCTGAATTTAGAAGTGGTCATGGCACCAGGGATATCAATGTTGTTGTCAGATGGATCCTGGCTGAAAGCAGAGAATATCAGAATAATGTATGCTTGTTCTTTATGGACTGTGCAAAACATTTGACTGTGGATCAAAATAAATTTTGACTAACATTGAGAAGAATGAGAATATCAGAACATTTAATTGTGCTCACGAGAAACCTATACTTAGAAGCTGTTGTGCAAATCAAACAAGGGAACACTGCTTGGCTTATAATTAGGAAAAGCCCGTGTCTGGGTTATATCTTTATTCCATACTAATTCAGTCTATATGCTGAGAAAATTATTCAAGAAGCTAGCCTCTATGAAGAGTAATGTGGCATCTGGATTGGAGGAAGATTAATCAAGAACTTTTCTCATTCAGATGACACAACCTTGTTTACTTAAAATTAGGAGAACTTTAAACACTTGCTGCAGAAGATCAAACACTGCAGCTTTCAACATGTACTACATCTCAGTATTAAGAAACGAAAAATTCTTACCCCTGGACTGATATGTGGAATCATAATAGATGGAGAAAAGATTGACACTGTCAATGACTTCATCTTCTGTTGATCCACAGCCAACATCCTTGAAATAGCAGTCAACATCAGGAGCCATAAGAAAGTCTGCAGTCAAGAACCTCTCTAACTTACTGAAGAGCAACGATGTCAGTTTGAGGCCTAATATGTACTTGGTTCAGACCATGGTATTTTCAGTCACTTGCTATGCTGCTGAGAGCTGGACAATAAATAAGGATGACATAAGAAGAATTGATACCTTTGAGTTGTGGTGTTGAAGAAGAGTACTGAATATTCCATGGACAATCAAAAGAACAAATAGATATAGCTTAGAGAAGGTATAGCCAGAGAGATTCTTGGAGGCAAGGATGATGAAGTTTCATCACACATACTTTAGATTAGGAACGGCTGTTGCTTGGAGTGAAACATAATGCTTGGAAAGGTGGAGAGATGGCAAAAGATAAAAAGATCTACCAGATGGAGACACGATATGGTTCAAAATTGGGAAGGGTGTCTCTATACCTTTTCAATCTGTATGCAGAACAGATCATCCAGGACTCTGTGCTGTATGAGGAGGAATGTGGCATCAGGATTGGAGGAAGATTCATCAGCAAACTGTGTTATGCAGATGACACAACTCTGCTTGCTGACACAGAAGAGAACCTGAAATACTTGCTGCAGAAGGTTAAGAACTGCAGCCTTCATCATGAATTGAAGCTCAACATCAATAAAACAAAAATTCTCACCATTGGGCCAATTGGCAGCATCATAATGGATAGTGAAGGGATTGAAATTGTTAACAGTTTTCGTTTCCTTTGCTCCGCAATCAATACTCTTGGTACCAGCAGCCAGGAATTAAAGAGACAAATTGTATTGGGAAAATCAGCTCAGTAACCTCTCCAGAGTACTGAAGAAAAAGAAACAATGTCAGGCTGGAGACTAAAGGGTGCCTGATCCAGGGCATAGTCTTTGCAGTTGTGTACTATGTGTCAGAGAGCTGGACAATGACTAGGAATGATAGAAAGAGAATTGATGCCTTTGAGCGGTAGTGCTGGAGAAGAGTGTTGAATATACCACAGACTGCTAGGAGAACAAACAGGTTGTCCTAGAGAGGGTGAAACCTAGCTGCTCCTTGGAGGCAAGGATTCTGAAGCTTTGTCTGAAATACTTTGAGCATGTTGCAAGGAGGGACCAGTCTTTGGAGAGGGACATCATGTTTGAGAGGGTCGAGTGACAGTGCAAGAGAGGAAGACTCTCAATGAGATGGATCAATTCAGTGACTGGGGTAATGGGAATAAGTGTGTCAGAGATAGTAAGGTAGGCACAGGATAGAACAGGGCTTAGGGCTCTAGTTCATAGGGTCACTATGAGTCACAAGTGACTCAACAACACATAGCAACAACAACAACAACAACAACCAGATGGATAGCAGATTGGAAGCAAGAGTGGCAGCAACTTCTTAAACAGCATGCCTCTAGAAACTCTATGGACTTTGATAAATGTTGATGGTTGTAGAGAAAGAAGCCTTTTGTTCATAGGGTCGCTATGTCATGCTTGACTCAAAGGCAATCAACAGCAACAACAACCAACACAACCACATGGAATGACACAGGGACTGCAACAATGAGCTCAACTGTGCCAGAGATGGTGAGTATAGCACAGGATAGGACAGGATTCAGCTCTATTTTTCATAGGGTCACTATGAATCGTACCTGACTCAATTGCATCAAACAGTAACAGTAGAATGAGTTAATACTTGATTACACATTTTAGAAGAGAAAGATAATATTATAATCAGAAATAGGCTAAAGACAAAATGATGCTCTTTGTGTATGCATAGTCATTTCTCTCAATTGGTAGAGGCAGAAAACAACAACAATGACAACAAAACCCCAAACAAGCATACAAAACCTCGTGATGCTCTTTGCTTCTTCATGGTCGCTCAACGTACATTCTGAAACATCAGATCTTAACAGTGTTCTTTTCAAGTTGGATATATACCTATTGCTTAGAAATATACGAAATGCTTATAGAACAAAACAGTGTGTTACTATGCTTATCAATTTTTTCTTTATAACTAACTTTGCACTATCTTTCTTTTCTGTAAATAGCTGTTGCTTAATACGGTCAAAGAAAATGAAGATAATTCTATATTTTTGCATTTGGACAGCAGCCTGGGCTATTCCAGTAAGTATGCCTTCCTCAAATGCATATATTTGTGCTAAAGATTTTACATGCTATCTTCAGGGTCATAATAAGCCAAATATGCCCTGAAATCCATATTGTTATTATTCTAATTGAAGTTCATGTCTTATCAGAAAGATTCTTACTTTAAAAATTTACTTAAATTGATTTACGTACAGTGCTCAGAATTTGTGGAGACTTTCTCCATCTTTGCTTTATGAATTTCCTTCTAACTGCACTGATAGCTCTATTAGAAGTTACCAATGAAGAGTGTTGGGAAGAGGGTGATGAGGCTGCGATAGGGAGAGGGGGAAATTCTAATGTTGCAGAGCTTGGTAGGTGGAGGGAGAGGGCAAAAGGTGTACATGAAAGAAACACAATGTAAACAAATTACTGTATGCAAAAGAATAAACATTTTTAAAAAGAATATTAGAAAAAAGCATAGCATTTGTTTTTTAATATATGAATGAGGCAATATTTCTAAAACTAAGCAGAGATAAAATAAAACTGGAAAAATTAAACCATTAGTGATTTTTATTAGCCAGACTCCATGACTAACGTTTGGATCTTTACCAACTCTTCCCTAGCCACATGGTTAGGTTCCACGGGCCAAGCTACCATCCAAAATCAACATTATGCAGAAATAAAGACTGATTACATCAGATAACAAAATAGAGGATAACTACACTGCTACATAATTACCAAATTACATTATTACATAACCTGTAAATTATATATATCTTTACATCACTGCCATGACACTGGGAATCATGACCTGGACACATTGACAGTCAGTATCACTCTTGTCCCAAATTTCAGCATTTGTGATTGCCAGATTTATGTCATTAATGTGCCTGTCAGGTATGAGATTTTTTACTATTGTAAAAAATATAAAATGTAAAAACCTGAAATGTTAGATAATGACATAGTGAATAATGAAGGAGGAGCTATATTTTTATAATACTAACATTTAGGTATTTATTTAATGATAATTTTTTTTCTTATATCTGAAATATGCTCCTTATGCATACAGAAGTAATGTTTTCCTCAATTTTGTTTCTACACTGAATCTTAACAAGATCAACTCCTCTTTCTCTATATCATTGCAAGAGATTTGCTGTACAGGAACATTAAACATCAACTTTTCTTTCTAAAAGATAGTTCTCCTACAATTGACATAACTGGCCTGGTTAACATATCGATACAATTAGTAACACCATTGTGAACAGTTTATGTAAGCCTGGTTTTCTATTTCCTACTTACTTAGATTATATTTTGTCTTTTGTCAGATATCCATCTCTCTCTCTCTCTCCTTTTATTTTTCTTATTTAAGAAAAGAGATGGTTTGGTAATGTACAGTCCCTTTCCACAACATTACTATTAAGCTGGGTCTGGAGTCTGCCGCGCCTGCATATTTCTACAGCTTCTCAGAGTCCTCTGGATAATGACTGAAGGGACAAACCATGCCGAAAACAGCCTTTTAGAATACTTTAAAAGTGCTCCAAAAGCTAGATTAATCTAGGTTCAGTTTTGTAGATGGATTAAGACTTATTTAAAAAAAGAGAGAGAGAGATGTTTATGTGTGTGTGCATGCATAGCTACTTGCTCGAAATAGCTTTTCATTTTGAAGCATTTTTGCTTTGGCAGGTTCCTCAAACCAAACCATTGGAGAAACAGGTTGCCGACAAATCTTCGAATGTATATGCAATAACAAAATCCAATAATACATCAATACAGGTATAGACTATTTCCCATTTCTAGGCTTTTCCTTTTTTTCTTTTTTAAAAAAGATTATTAACTTTCTTAAATTGTCATCCATAATTTGTTTGCTATTTTCAAGATAATATGAATCATTTAGTTTGAATTTTTATTCTTTTTCAGGATGAGTTAAATGCCAATGTCATCACTAGAGAAAATGGTGTCCCCATACGTGAAAGTGAAAGAGGAAGACAACAGTCTATAGTAAATGGTTGTAAAGAAGAGGGGGATGGCTTTGAGTGTGCAGAATTAGGGAGAAATATCTCCTCTACACACCCCATGCCAGTGGATATAGAGGGTATTGTTAAGGATGGGAATGCAGCCACAAGAGAACCGGAAACATATGGTTATGATGCAATACATGGAAATGAAGATAACATCACATTAAATGGCATCAGGGGAAAAGTAAACATTATTGATAATGCTGGAGCAACAACTGTGAGTGATATGAATGGAAATACTGATAGTACAAACCATGGCGATATAGGATATACAAGTCAGAGTGGCGATACCACTCTTGTCTCTGAAGATGGAAATCAAATGCCTGGAAACAATAATAGTACAGACCCTGAGGATGAAATGAATGGGAATTCTTGTGGTAATGAGAATAACACAAATGAAACAACACCTCAGACAGAAGGTGAGATAAATAGGAATAAGCAGGCTGATATAACTCCCGGGAGAAATGGAACCAGCAATGGAAACGATACTGGCCTAGATGATTCCGATGGGAGTCCCAGTGGGAATGGAGCAGATTATGATGAAGACAAGGGCTCCGGTGATGAAGATGAAGAAACAGCAGATGGGAAAGCAGGTTCCAATAATAGCAATGAGGAGGAAGGGCAGGGTAATGACAAAGAAGATAGCCATGACGATAGTGAAAGTCAAAATTCAGTTAGTACTGAAGAAGATGACCCTGGAGATAAAGCTCTTCTTACTAACAATAATGGAGAGAACAGTTCCAATAGTGATGAAGATTCTCATAGTATTCCAGAAAACTATGGTGTCCAAAGACTAGAAAGCACTAAAGAATTCAATCACATAGGAAGTAAAAGGGCGGAAAATGGAATCCCTGAAGAATCAGCTCCAAGTGCTGTTGGGAAAAGCCAAGATAAGGTTCGTTTGTAAATTGGCATATTTCATTACAGTTTAAATCTCCCCTTCCCCACTAATGGGGAGACTAGTAGGGAACTTGGAGGGGCCCATAGGGAGTTGTATTACTGTCCTAAAGGTTATGCCTTTTTGGTAGTTTGAATCCACGTGTTACTCTGAAGGAGAAAGATGGACAACCTCCTTCCATAAGATTTGCAGCTTCAGAAACCCTATGAACAGTCAATTATGAGTTGGTTCAGATTTGATGACAATGAGTTTGAAATCATACACTAAAGTTCAGATATAAACCATGACAAGCCCTTATATATTATGACATTTTTCCATGTAAATCACATGAGTATTTAAGTGTGGGGAAAGAATTTTTACTAGGATATTGAACAAATCTGAAAAGAAAACATTTTCTGAATATTTGGTTACAACTCTAGATAAATCTTATTCTAAATTGTGGCTGCATCATGTGATTAACAAAAATTCCTAGGGGTTAGAAATATAGATAATTTCCTATAATGTCTACACACAAGAATTATTTCAAGTACTGCATAAAATACATTTTCACAGATAACTATTTCTGAGATAATCACCACTAAACCCATCTTTCTCTGGATTCTTTCTTAGCTAATCAGCCTCAAATCAACACAATTTTTCAACAAAACATTCACTAATCTTTTTTTTTTCTATTCCATAGGGATTAGAAACTGGAAGTCTCAGCAGTGGCTACATAAATAATATTACCACAGATGTTGGGAAAGTAAATGAAGATAAAGCACAATATGGACTGATCATGGTTAAAGAAAATGTCAAGACCCAAGGAGAGAGTAACAACATACAAGGACCAGGCCAGGAATCAGAACCTGGAAGTAAGGTTGGACACAGCAAAACTGGCAGTGACAGTAATAGTGATGGGTCTGACAGTTATGGTTTTGATGATGAGCTCATGCAAGGTGATGATCCCAATAGCAGTGATATTGATGGTGCTAATTCTGAGAATGATAATAATAGCAATAGTCAAGGAGATGCTTCTGAGAACTCTGATGAATCAGAAGATAATGACAGTGACTCCAATGGAGAAGGAAATTCTGCTGAGAGTGATACCACATCGGATGCTAGTGACAGTGATGAAAATGGAAATGGTAACAATGAGAATGGAAATAGTGGGAAAGCAGAAAGTAAATCTGATAGTAGTGACAGCAATGATAGCAATGACAGCAAATCTGACAGCAGTGATAGCAGTGACAGTAGTGACAACAATGACAGCAGTGATAGTAGTGACAGTAGTGACAGCAGTGATAGTGATAATAAATCAGACAGCAGTGATAGCAGTGATAGTAGCAACAGCAGTGATAGCAGTGAAAGTGACAGCAGTGACAGCAGTGATAGTAGTGATAGCAGTGACAGCAGTGATAGTGACAGCAGCAACAGCAGTGATAGTAGTGATAGCAGTGATAGTAGTGACAGCAGTGACAGTAGCAACAGCAGTGATAGCAGTGATAGTGACAGCAGTGATAGTAGTGATAGCAGTGACAGCAGTGATAGTGACAGCAGGGACAGCAGTGATAGTAGTGACAGCAGTGA